CTTTCCCGACTTCTGAGGTGTCTTTTAATTACTTTTAAGTTCTGCAAAATTCAAGGTTTTCTACTCTTGAAAACTGTCAGATAATTTTTTCCCATTGTTATTACAGTAAATAGGCCTTATGTGTGTATTACATAAAAAATTGAGTAAGTTGCATACCATTTTTATTCCATGAATCGATAAATCTCAAAAAGAAAGGGTTGAAATGATTCAATTGATCAATGAACTCTATAAAGATAAAGGGGTCCGGGTTACCCCGGGAAAATTTCGATTTCTAGATGGCGGGAAATGAGCTTTCCTGACTTCTGAAATGTCTTTTAATGACTTTTAAAGTTCTTCAAAATTCAAGGTTTTCCCCTCTTAAAAAAAGGTCAGGTAAATTTTTCTAATTTTTTATTTTATGCGTGTACACATACATAAATAAATGAGTAGTTGCATGCGTATTCTTTTTTCCATGAATCGATAAATCCCAAAAAGAAACGGTGGTCCGGGGGTCCTCCCCCGGGAAAATTTTGATTCCTAGATGGCGGGAAATGAGCTTTCCCGACATTCGAAGTGTGTTTTAATTACTTTTATGTTCTTCAAAATTCTAATTTTTTAATTGTAACAAAAAAAAAAAAAAAAAATCAGCTCACGGGTCCTGAAATGGTAGGTCTAAAATTCTTTTCTTTTTCCCTTTGTTTTTGTTGCCCAAGGGAGGGGTCAGGACCCATGACCCCCTCCCCCAGATCCGCCAATTGAATTGCGAGAAAATGTAACTCGGTCGGGTACTGGTTGACAATTTAGGGGTTCCAAAGGCTTATTTTAATTGATTATAGTCTACTTACTAAACAATAGGCCTATGTAGAAAATACATATAATTTTTGTTTTCTCCCCGACGTGAGAAAAGTGGGCGTGATAGGGCGTCGCTCAAAATATTTCGAAAATGTTCCAGGGGTCTAGTGTAAGTTATTGAGATAAATAGGTCCTTTTATAATTATTTTAGAAATAAAATAATAATACATCTTTTTCGGAATGTTGTTTTTTTTTTGTTTTTTTTCGTAAATGGTAATATTTTATTTTTTTAAATAATTCTTAAATTTAAAAAATATTGCTTCGCTCAGCCATATTTTGAATTTGCGTGAGATTTTATTCTCTAACAAAAATGAACTACAAGGCTTTTTCAATCTCGATTGAGATAGCTAGATAACATCCGTTTGGTAAAGAAATGACAGCATAGTTTGCCCTATTTTTCAAACAGATGCTGGATAGACTTTAATAAAACAAATAAAATTGAAATACACACTCCAAAAAAAAAAAAAAAAAAAAAAAAAATAATAATAATAATAATATCAAGTGTTATTTCTGCCGAGCGTCTGTGGTTATTTTAGACATTATAATATATATCATCTTTTAGTTTAAATAGCCGCAAGCAGTAATTTTCCAGTGTCACTTTAATATCTTCCCTGCAATATCAACATTTATGTGCCAGAATAGAAAAGCTCCTGACTGGTTACAAAGTATAAAAATAGTATCGTTAAATCTTAAAACATGGTTTTAGTGGTGATCAATAGGTTAGCGACTAAATTTTAAAAATTTCAATGCATATTAATGCTGTGTGCTCCTCCTTATCTATTTTGAACACGTGTCCCCACATTTGAACAATTCTGTATCCGACCCGGCACCTGTAGTATATATTATTTATTTGTTTTTTAGATTAAAAACCTGCATATTATTATTATTATTATTATTATTATTATTATTATTATTATTATTATTATTTATTTATTATTTTTATTATTATTTATTTTATTATTTTTATTATTATCAAATTTCATCATTGATTGACTTCTAGGAAACGTGATATATTTTATTAGACTTTCTTTTTAAATCGATATTGAACAACATTGATATGCTGATATTCAACTAAAAATATCCATTATTTTAGAGCCCAGATAAAAGTTTTATTTTTTTTTCTCACTGAATGTTAAGTCATTCGTTGTATTTGTACTTTTCCCCCACTAATTCAAGCAGATGTTTGAATGAATATTTGTTGATGAAGCAGACACATTCTGTATTGACTTTTTTTTTATAATCGCCATGTATATTTTAACATCATCGCGAATTCATAACAGGCCTCATAATTTTTTAATTAAACAATATTTCTTTGCTCAGTCTGTTTGGATTGTGCGTATTTTAATATCTTATGGCTTTTGTATAGTTTTTTAAAGTCTGAAATATAAAGTGCGATGATATTCGTTTGCTTTAGCATGTTTTGTCCAATTTCAACCCAGGTTGGATATCATCTACATTTGTTTTCCATTTGACAGAACAATTTTACGCTCACGACCCCGCCCTCTACTTGTAAGCTCTGAATTTGCCCCTGGAACCAAATGCGATACGATAGCTGTATGAACTCTGGATCCGCGTATGGCACACATCACATTGATAGTGCACCCAAAGAAATATCAAACACAAACAAAAGATACACGATCATAACTTCACTACGGCACATTTGCCATTTACAAACAACAACCAGAACCCTGCGGGTGAGTACGTTCCTTTGTACGTAAAAAATCAATGTACATTTGTGAGCTGCAATATTTTGCAATTTATTTATCTTTTTGAATAATGATTGTGTAAGGTAATACAGTATTTTCATTTTCAGTCAAAAAAAATCAGAGGCGGATCCAAATTTATGAAAGGGGGGGGGGGCATCCTAAAGCTATTTTTAAGGCCTTCCGCCCAGCCTTATACAAATTCCCCCACCCCCCTTAAAATCATGAAGAAACACAAGTTTTTGCTCCATAAACCCTATTTTCCGGTGAATAAGCCGCAAATTTTATACGCGATTTTCCCCTCGAAGTTTGGGGTGCGGCCTTTACACCGGTCGTTAACCTGCACCCGAAAAGTTCAGATCGCGAACCGCAGAGAAAATCAGGCGCCGTCTGTCTAGCTTGGGCCCATGCTCCTAGCCCAATTAAATAGCCTAGGCTTTGAAGGGCTAGTATTTGTAATTATACTCACTATACAGTGCTGTACTGTGATTTCTACTACATTTTCTACAACAATCAAGCAATGGTTTGGGTTGTTTAAATAATTATTTTCATAGTTACGTTCACTCAAACAATTTTGAAACGCGTTTTATTCGAAATCGCTTCGCTCAAAACAATAAATAAACTTCTTTTCGGGAGTGATGATGTCGCAACAAAACACAAATTTTTCATCTAACCGAAAAAAACAAACATTTCTTGCACAATTGCATGCCCACCAGCAACTATCGAGCACAGTGTATACCTGCCGCGTTGCACCGTTTCGGAGCCTATTTGTTTACAAATATGCTGACCTCTTTTGGTTGCACATCTCATACACACATTTTACATGTGAACCATTCATAGAGCTATTAAACAACTAGAGTGCTGACAAGATGGCGAAGCAATGCAGAGTTAAGTATGTGTACCATCCAAGATGGCCGTCGTAGGAAAGCGCCACCTTCAGGCTTAGTATACATATTATTACCATAAATAAGCCCTCTGACTGACTATTATTTCATTATTGATAATTAGTATTGATAATAACAAATTGTTAAACTATCCTAGCCAAAAAGAGGCCAAGTAGAACATCTTATTAAAAAATTTAAAAAAAAAATTGTGTACATTACACCATTACACCGCAACGCTCGAGTTTCAAACATACGGGAAACTAGCTATACTGAACTTTTCTTTGCAAATTGAGGGCGCCATTAAAAATGATAGTGCTTAGGCGAAATTTGATTGGCTGAATCAATGGCAGCCAGTTTAATTTATTGTTTGCAATATTGTCAAAAATGGTTGAAAGTGTTCATTTATGGCGATGTTGATTTTCTTCTTTGTTGTTACTGTAATTGAGCAAGCATAAAATAAAAAGAAATGTCATCAAGAAACAAATGGTGTTCTATAGAGCCTAGTATAAATCCTCCCCATATCTAAATCATTGTTGTGCAGGTCAATATCTAATTAATAAAATATACTTATCTTAAATTGGTTTAAGATTTTTTGCAATCAAATAGAAAATGATCAACAATTTCTTTTGATTTTCTTTCACTAAGACGACAAATACCGTATTTATTCGAATAAACGCCTTTTCCGAATAAACGAACCCCTCCATAGCCTTATTTGGAATAAACGCCTCCTAAACGTATTCTTTAAATGGTCCTCATATCCACACCCTACAAAATTCACACACTTCTTTATTAAAACATGACCTATTCTGCCAATTGTCATTTTTTTTCCCTTGATTCATTTTCGAGATATTTGGGTCTGGGACCTTTTGACCCTCAAATGCACACCCGAATTTGGATCGTCACCAACACTTCATAATTTTTTTCTTGTACCTTGGTTAAGCTTTCATGAAAGTTGAATTCATATTAGTGGATTAGCTTTTGAAATATCTGGTCTGGCACATTTTCCTTTAAATGGTCCTCATATCCACACCCCACTCCAGATGGTCACCAAAATTTAATCACCTCAATCCTCGGGTCATACCCAACATTCCCTGTATCTTCCATTTAAGATCTATGCAGCTGTTTTTGAGATATTTTGAACACAATTTAAAAATTTAAATGACCCTCAAGCTCACTCCTAAATTTGGATCGTGACCAACACTTGATAATTTCTTCCTTGTGACTTGGTTAAACTTTCACGAAAGTTTCATTCATATCAGTTGATTAGTTTTTCTAAATGGTCCTCACATCCTCACTTGCCAGATTCCCTACAAATTAGTCTGAAGTAGTTGTCTGATGTAAGATATTGCCATTCTAGGCCTCTGTTGGTTATTGCTATTCCATCTGATAAGCATCTTATCATTTTTTTAAAAAGAAGGGCAAACAATTTGGTTTTTTTTGGGCTAATGTCTATGCAGCTGTTTTTGAGACACAAAAACCCCAAAACGTGACACACACACACACACACACACTCTTACACGACTGAAAAAATATATCTCCTGACGGAGATGATAATAATAATAGAAAGATAATGTTCTCATAATTATATTCCTATTAAATATTTTAATTTTTTTCCTTTTATATTAATGTATAGAAAACATTATTTTTCAACTTTTAGTTGGATATCACTTTTGAAACAGTGGCACACAACATTCGTTGGTGCACCCAGTAATACAATAGAAACATCAAAGTACAATATAAAATAGTGACTTAAGAGCTACTTAACAAAATATAAACTCTCTTCCCCCTCCCCAACCCTGGTTCATGTCAAGGATTCCTGTTAGTTACTATACGAGATTAAAGGTACAAAATAATAGAATGAGACAACAGTAAAGTGCAACTTGTAATATTAAGAGATGTACACTTTTTAAACTTGATGATCTATTATTCCTGTGTATTGTCGGTCAAATTCTCATTGAACGTAGCAGAGTTGGTTGATAAATTTCTATTGAAAACTGTCATCATTGTTTGAAAATCTCTAGATCTTTTTTCCTCTGCATGTTTCCTGTCTTCCATTCCTTGTTTAATTAGTTCTAATATACTTAGCAAACACTTTCTATCCTCTCTCCTCTGCTCAAGCTCCTCCTTTCTTCTCCTTTCTTCAATTTCCAAAAATTTTCTATCTGATGCTGCTGTTATTTCTTTCATTCTCTTTGCAAGGGCTTCAACTGTCCTATCTTTCATACTCAATCGTTGTCTTTTTTTACCTGGAAATTGGTAAAATTGTATAGAAACTAGTTATCATACAGTACTGGCATTTTTTATATTACTTTTCATGCAAACTAAGCTACTAAACCATCCTTGTGCATTATATCACTACCTACAAAAAAAAAAAAAATTGTAACACAAACATACTGTACAAACACAAGATTTTATACTTTTGTCCAGAAATTTCAATTTACTTAATAACTTATTGTTACTTGAGCCAAAAAAAAAAAATTTTTGTTGCCCATGCCCAGCTGGCCCAAAATCCCGAATTCAAGGGTCAGCTGTATTTTAATGCTACCTCAGTGCACTCTAGCACCTCCACCCACCTATCACGCATCTCCCAGGATCTGAAACAGATAATGCATGAGTTTTCCTCCTCTTTGAAGGTGGTGAATAAGTTTCTGCACCATTACCTGGGGACCTATTTCGGTTTTACCATAGGAGCAGTAAAGCAGAGAGATTGCAGGCATCTCGAAGAGCTCAACACTCAACGATTGCAGGATTTTTATCGAGTCTGAGGGGCCTTATTTCCGCCCTTCAGGGGCCAGCGAGTGGGAGCCCCTCATCTAATGCAGGACACAGCAAATGTTTCATTAATTTCTGTTCCTCCCCAGCATACTATTTATGAGTCTAACCCTCTCTGAGTAAACCCCGACTCGAAGCTCACAAAAGGCATGCAAATCTGAATGTCTGTGGGTTGTCTATTTGCCCATGCAGCATGGCATCCTTTTTCAAACAACGTCCTTTTTCAAACAGTCGCATCTACTGTCATGTGCACTGAGTGGCCGACCCTGGGAAGCCCTTGGAGAAATGACATCACTTCCAAGTCCAGAGCTCATACAGCAAGCAGTGACAGTGTAATCAGTCTACATACCATTTTATCATAGCTACGCAGGAAATATATACCGTTATAGGCAAGTACTGACTCTTGCCTATATTACAACAAATTGTTATGTTTCTTCAAAAACATAAAGTTAATTCCAAAATTAATTTTTTTTTTTTTTGTATTTTGCATAGGACAATACATTTTTAAAAGCTGACAAGACATGCAAGCCAGGAAAGCAAAGCTGCTGAGCTGACATCTGTGAATCCCCTACCTTTGCTGGGTTGTTGACAAGCTACTTGGCCTCTTCCTTCAACTTGAACATTATTACATACACCTATGATTTAAATTTAATTAGGAACAAATTATTTTTATATTTTGATTATCCTTTGATAATAGTACACTTCCCCTTAGTATACAGTACTATACTTGTATTCAATGGTGGGAGGGGTGGGGGTAGGGAGGCCCCCATCGTCCAATGCCACAATGATTTTGTTGGACCAAAAACAATTCTTATCCAAATACAGTAATGTTTGGTTTGGGCCCACATTGTCAGATGGCAAACCCCCTCTCAGCAAATTACTGAAGCAATCACTGACTTTTTTCCTTCGTTGTTAAATATCTGTATCTCATTAACCATTTCAAGTTAGCTCATTGATGTACATACCGTGTATTCTCGTGTATAAGACAAGACTTAAAATAGCAAATTACGATCGAAAAACCTTGGGTCGTCTTATACATGCAACACGTACAAATTTATTTTTAACTCGCATTCATCATTCAATTTACTACTGAAATGAAGCTACTAACCGTTAGTATGATACGAGACAATGCAATTTTAAATGTGGTGAAATAAGATTTCGATGAATTTTGGTTTAGATTAATTCATTAAAAATAATCCTTCGGGCTTTCCAAGCATTCAGAATTTTTTCTTGCATTAACCTAATCTTTGTATAGTAAGTTTCCACTAGTGTAATACACAACTATTTTAATTGATTATTAAATAAAATGGCACACAATTATGAGAAACTGTTAATGAGCCACTGAAATGTCTTACTATTCATACTCTACCTTCAACTTTGTTTTCCACATCTTTTTTATCATTGCCTGGACTTTCCTGGTTATTTCCATGGTTTTTGTGTTCTCTTTCTGCAACCTGCCGTGTGTGTTCATTCTGCTCTCTCTCATCATCCTGGTCATTTTCTTCATCACTAAGTGCATACCAGTCTTGAAGTGGAAATACCATAGGGAAAAAATAGTAATAGTCTTATTACACTACACAGTAATAATCTTCTCTACTCTAAATTCCATATTAGCAGGTTAGATTATGTATGACATGCTCACCCTATATAAAGGCAGACGTGTCATTTTGAAACGAAATAACAGGAGTTTTAGTAATAGGCAGAGGAACATGTCACAGAGCGACATCCGAGGGCCCTTATGCCCAAGCGGGGGTGGGTTTGGGAGGGGGTGTCCTCCTCCCTTTTTTAACCTAAGAAAAAAACTTTTGAATTTTGTTGCCTGAGCAGGATCGGTTTGGGATGGGGTGTCCCCCTCTCTACCTAAGAAAACAATGAAAAATAATTACTGTAAGATGCCATTTAAAAGTGTTCAATTTTAAGTTTTGAATTGTGTTGCAATGTTTTATTTTAGAATGTATTAAACACTATTTTAAAGTAAAAATCCAACAGTCAAACACTTGCCGTGGTTAATTTAATTTTCAAAATAACAATAAATAAATGGATAGCACATCATACAATGTTCTGTAATTGTAATTATGTACTGTAATTATGTATTTTCTTTCGCAGTGTTTTTTTTAAAACTATTTACATTCAATTGCAGTTCAGCAATTCTAGCTACTAACTAGTTTTCTTACTATCATCTACATAACAGCTAGTACAGTACTGTGCCTTTTCTTCATGCAGGTATTTTTAATTACCTTTGCAATACAAAAAATAAATAAATTATAACAACTTCTATTCATAATCCAAGGCAAAATACTGAAAAAATAATGAGATACAAAATTGGTAACCAAAAGCTAAAATTTAAATGTAAAAGCAAAATAGCCAGTGAGGTAAATGCCTAGCTTTTTGGGACAGACCACTGTCCTTCGTCAGGCCAACTTTTCAATAATTTGATTTTTTTATTTATTTACAGTAGAGCCTCGATTTTACGTACGGTATGGGACCAGAGGGCGTATGTAAATTGGGGGATTCGTAAAATAGATGTTGGATTAAATTTGTGGTAACATGTACGTAATGCTCAATAAACGTATGTACGAAGGAACGATGTTACCTAGGCTAGACCTAGCCTCTAGGCCTACGAATAAAACCATTTGTTTAGTGTTATTATTCATCACTTAATACGATGTCATAATAAAGTGTTCAAATAAAATGTGTCTAGTGAACAAAGAACATGAAAATATTGTTAAAGATTACCTATACGACGACAAAGGTATAACTTGGGAATTCCCCTTCATGCCAATTCTAAACAACAGAGCTGTGGTGTTGTCTGGGCCTGTTGAGACAAACTAAAACCATGTGCGCTGCACTGGGCGAGCCAACCAATTAGCGTTCGCGTACGTAAAACCGAGTGTTCGTATAACTGGGGTACGTAAAAATGAGGTTCTACTTGTATTAGCTACACAAAATAAAAATAGTCCTCTTGCATATAAAAAAATAAACGTACAGTAATTGAATACACGTTCTTATTGTATTTGTATACAATGGAACAATAATCTACATTGCTACAGCCCTTGAAGTTAGCATCGGCATTCTTCAATTTGCTGAGCCGCCCGAAGCTAAAGACGGCACTAATTGGCAGAGGCCCTTTTGTTGTCAAGATAAACTTAGAATGTAGCATAAATTAACGGTGAATGAAAATCATATGTTCTCCAAGCTTTTAATTGTTTAGTTATGTTAAAATACATTAATCAAACATATGTAAAAACAAAGAAATTTCTACTTGTTTAAAGTTGTTACTCAACAACACACAATCGAATCGACAGCAAATCAATGTACACGGGGAATCCCTGAATTTGTTCACGTGAATGTACGTTGAACCACATCCATTGAGTTTGAACCGCGGAGGTTTGAAAAAAAAAACTGTTGTTTTTATTAAACATATAACTTGATACAGTATATATTTATTTCAATCATTAGATTCATGAATCATTGTTATCTTTTCAAAAAAAGATCATACGCCGGAATTGGTCCATTTGCATTATTTTTAGTTTACTCACGTCATGACTACCATACGTACGAGCGAGGATGCGAATGCTCTCTGCATCCACCCTGATCCACATCATACCGTACTTTGTAGAGTGGCTCGTACAGTACATACAACATGGCCTTTCTCTCAAATCAACTGTCAATGTTGTTTTTTTTCACGAGGTGGGAAACGTGTTTATAAAACATTAAAACTATTTGGTTGACTTACTTTATTCGTGATGATTAAATATCTTACAAGAAATACACGCATATTACATGCCATTATGACAGATGAGGTTGTTTACTTCTTGCTTCCTAGTATACTTCGTAGGGTGGATCACATAGTCCTTCTCGATGTTCTTCGCTCGATCAGGGTTGAACGCTCAGCCAGAATTTTTTTTTGACTTAATATTTGTGATGATTAAATACAATATCTTACAAAATATACAGAGATATTCTATGCTATATCATGACGGACGAGGCTCTTTACTTCTTGCTTCATAGCATACTTTGTACGGCCGTTCACATGTTATCTACAAAGTGGTCTTGTTCAGATATTCTTCGTCGACGCTCGATCGGGGCTAGACCCGATTTAATGGTGTTATTTGGTTGGACGTTGTCTGTGACAATGCGTTTGAATGAAATTAACAGTTTATTTACTTCGTTGATTTAGTATTGTACGAAATATAAGCTTATTCCTAGATGAATGCTGTTTTAATTTTTGTGGTAAATGCAAGACTTAGAAGAGAATTTCTCCATGTTTTTGGCGTAGGCTTCTTCATACACAGTACCACTACCGCATGCATGTCCTCTTCTTCAATCCACACTTCAAAAGTGTGGTCATTCAAAAATGATGCGAGTAGAGTGAAAAGAACAAATATTTATTATATTAAGAAAATCAAACCAAGCCTGCTCCGTAGTTCAATTTTGAGTCAAACTTGTTTACAAGAATACGTGCAAACCAGTTCAGGGATTCCCCATGTGGGTTGATTTGCAGTCGCTTCGATCGTGTCGGGGATCGTGTGTTGTTCGATAATGGCTTTTGAAAGAATAGAAATTCTTGTTTGAACTAGTACTTGCTTGATCAAGAAGTATTATGATTTACATTAGATTCTGTATTTAAAAAGTAAAGTATTGGTTCTTAGGGCTTGGCAAGGACCAGCCCAAGATGGGCCTATGTTTCAGGCCACTAATTTATTTACCTCCGGCATTCAATAGCTGGCGCAAGAATCATAATAGACAGAGATTGTGCCGGCCGCTTGCTTAAAATGACACCCCTGTATTAAAAAGGCCTATAAAAATAGGCTCCGAATAGGATGAGGGTTTACTACTGAGTTGTGAATTTTGTCATTTCTTTTAATATATCAATAAAGAGTTCCGTTAATCTTGAAGAATAAGGCAATATAGAGCAAGACCTCAAAATTAAAAAAAATAAAAATTTCAATTACTGTAGGTCTAAACATTTGTTCCAATTCAATATTCTTATGTCAATCTTTAGGGACGGTTTTTTAGTTGCTTTCCACAATAAATTTTTGTCTCGGATGGGATGTTTTTTGAGAATATAACCAGTTATCTCGGTAATTATAAAATATAAGATTAAAATGTGTTCAATAGTTACATGTATGCATACGGTTAATTATTGGGGGAAAAAATTAAAATTTTTTTTAAAGTTTTATGATAAAATATGTATGTGTCGCAGATGGGACAAAATTTGGATTGGTTTACATATTCTAATATTTCTCCTCATTTTAAAAAAGATATTAAATTATTTTTTGTTTCATAATTATCACCAGATGATTGTAACTGTAATTTTATGAATAAAAATATGAACATGCGAGGTACTGTATCGCTAATTAGCTCAAACTTTGTTAGCGCCGTACCTCGCCAATTAAGAGGCCTAGAGCAAAAATATTTCATTTCTGATTGTTTCTCACAGGTCCCAACCACACTAGACATGAAATAAATTCCTAACATTTTGCTAAAATCCAGTGGTGGCTCCAGAAATTTTCCCACAGGTGGTACAAATTGTTTGACATGGGATGCAACTAAGGTGCACTCTAGAGCCAAGGTCAGGTTCCTGGAATAAAAATCCCTGCCTGTACCACACACAGGGAGAGATTTTTTGGCTTAGTATGGCCCAAATAGACACAATTCTGCAAGGTTGGTCATATGACGTATAGTGGGTACAAATTGTAAACAGGCTTCTTCAGAGTATTTCTGTTGTGAAGTACATATTTGATGTTGAATAATGTTGGATGGAATGCCAATAAACTATACCAAACTGATTGGAAATTGAACTTGAGAGTTTTGCCATAATGATTTGCTAATGCTCCAAAAGATACTGGCACCAAACATTGAGATTTTCGGGAAGTGCTAGGTCCAGGCCCCTGCATATCCCCTGTTTAGGTATGCATGAGTGTCTTTGATCCACAAACTGCGATTTTGACACACTACGATTTCTAGGCTATGCTAATGTTTAATGGATCACATAAATTCCAAAGCATATACTGTACAAAGCACTGAGAAGGCTAGAATAAGTAAATAAACACTATATTGAACAATCGTAGTGCCTTTCTTTGCCAGTTAATTCTCATGTTATTGGTGAGCGGTTGTTTTGTTCGCAACCATAACATTATCTTTTCCTACACTTGCATACTGTAAGCATACAAAGCACAGAGAAAGCTAGAATAGGTAAATAAACACTATTTTGAACAATCATAGTGCGTTTCCTTGCCAGTTACTTCTCGCGTTATTGGTGGGCATTTGTTCTTCGCAACCATAATATTATCTTTTCCTATACTTGCATACTGTAAGTTCTCCATATTTATACTGTACCCACTATCTGTCACATGACTAGCTGTTAAAAAGAATTGCAGAATGTGTCTATTGTGCTTTTAGACCACAATATTTGGGACTGTCATCAAATAACGTTACTTGGATAGGCAAATTATTATAGTTGGTCTGTCGACCTCGTGGCATCAGCGATGGAGTAGGGGGACCAGGCCTGTCATATGAACAAATGAATGAGCAAATTAACGAATGAACAATTGAATAAATAAATAAATGAAATGAATAAATTAATGAATTTATGTATATGACCTATAATCACTTACTTGTTGAATTTGAACTACTTGTGTCCAGAGCATCAGTACTTGAGTCTAAAAAAAATCAACCAATGTTTATTTGAGTGCACTCATAATCAGATAAAATAAAACCTAGTACAATCAGCCATGCCCCCTGCTGGGTGGAGCTTTCATTTCAACTGCAAATTGATTTTGCTAATTTAAACACACCAAATATTAAAATATATTGATAGCAATTATGGTACTTTACAATGCAAATATGTTGAATAATCAAGTATTAATTAAATGCAAATTATTAATTATACAGTTGTAGTGACTGTAACCATTGCATGTTAATTACCTGATGAATATACTGTACATGTTGTTTTTCATTTGCTTTATTTTACCAGAAATATTATTTGCATTGTCAATGTTTATCATAGTATATTCTTTATAATAAAATAATAAATACGCAACTCTCACATTGTAATAGGCATATTTAATATTATCAGTACTTTCAACACATGTTCATGGTGGGATTGTCAAGCACTTCCATGTGGTTAATGCTTTGCAACCGCATTGAGGTACTAAATTGGTAAACCTGACGCCTGATAAACCAGCCTAGGCCCGACAAGGGATATTTTTAGATGAAAAAGTGCGACGCCTAGGAGGGTAGCACCTCACATGGACGAAGCCCAGCCAAATGTTCCTAAACCATTAGCTACACTGCCAGTTTCTGCTGTTGCCTTGAGACTGCCTCCATTTTGGCTTGGTGATCCAACCCTTGGTTTGCTCAGGTGGAGGCTCAGTATTTAACCCATGGCATAACGGCTGAGCAGACTAAGTATGCATATGTTATTGCCTCGTTGCAGCCCGAAATAGCACAGGAAATACGAAAATTTGCTTATATCTCCACCACAGGACAGGCCATATGCTATCCTAAAGGAAGAATTGGTCAAATGTACATTCGAGTCTGAACACAAGAGGCTACAACAACTGTTGACTACATGGGAATTAGAGGCGAACGCAAGCCAACACAATTCCTGCGTAGAATGTATCAATTATTGGGAGACATAGAAGAATCAACCCTGAAGTAACTTTTTGTCCAAAGGTTGGGACTGACCTTGTGACTTTTCTCCCAAGGAGAGTATCATGGGAACCTACTTGTTGGAACCACCAATTGGCTCCATCTTCTTATTACCATCTTGCATTCCAAGTTTGAAACCAATTAATCAGAATTTAATTAATTACCGTGGCTACAAAGGCGTCGATCCGTGGTTAAAATGGGGGGGGGGGGTGGAAACAAAATGATAAATAAAGAGCCTTGGTTTGGGACCAGGGGGCGAAGCACCTAAAAGCTCTCGCGCCTATAGCCTTTTAATTGATTTTAAGCAATGCTATTAACATTTATTTCCATACGAAATTTTCAAAATATCCAGTAATTTGAAACAGAGCTGAGCCCAGAGAGGGACTTGTACAGATGGAGAGTGTAGACCACCTCAGCCCCGCCATGGTTGGAGCCTAGGTAAGAAAATTCATGATTATGGCACCTCTAGGTGGTCGGAAATGGCACTCTCAGACTTAATTTGAATATAATTTTCATTTTTCTCGACTTTTAAAATTCAAAAAAAAACTTAGGGATGGTGGGCCGGTTAGGCCCCTTGAATCTGCCACTGAAATACTGTACTCATCATAAAAGTTTTTAAAATTATCTTTTTAGTCATAATTATGCCTGCTTATATATTTCGTGCAAAAACATTCATTAAAATAATAATTTACTATATATACTGCAGGGGTTTCCCTTAAGGTTTTTTTTAACTAGCCAAGTGGACCAGTAAATTAATATTTTTACTGGTCCTCAATCCCTTTCCCTAGCCACTATCTTACCAACTTCGGAAGGCCCAAATACCATATTTTTGACATGCTAATCATGCTGCCCCTCACCGTGAAGTAACACTGGCAGATACAGAAAAATCTTGTTGTTCTCTCAGTATGAGAAATTATGCCGCAAATATAAATAGAGGAATCTATTTGTATGTACAGTGCACTCTCACAATACGATGTTCGCTACGACATTCGTTTTTCCGGAAAGATCGGTTTGTGCAACATTTCTATTGAATCTTTTACGAATATGGCAGGCCAGTTTGTCGCTATAACATGCGGAGAAGGTGATTTCCCTTCATGATCTAGGCTAGTGCGTGATGTTCATCGGTTCGCCTTGAATGACTGAGCCCAAACCTGTTCGTAGCGGACATTAACATGACAATAAACAAATAAATAAATAGCGATCTTGTTGACATTATCTGTGTGAAATATTTTGTAAAGACATCGTTAGAGGTGAATGATTAAAGCTTTAGGTATTTCGTCAGACTTTCATTGACATTTTAACTGGTCACGCGGACTTGTTATTGGGATAATTAACAGGTCTGCCATGTATTTTACTAGCCATTGGCCGGCAGACCAGCGTTATTTCAACCCCTGTACTGATTAGCTTGTGACGTATTCAAAATTCGAACCATGAAAAACAAATAACAAACTTAAAACAGTCATAAATTTAGTCTTTTTGCATGTACATTACTTTTAAAATCAATTAAGAGGTTATTTGCTTTTCTCCTCATTTTGAATTTTCCACTTTTGTGTAAGAAATATTGCGACTTCACTATTGTGAGTGGAAATAATACCGTCTAATTTACGATCAAACAGGACTAGGGAGATAGGGAGCACACAAAACATTAGTTAGCATTTTGATTTCACAAACATAAACATGATTTACTTAATTTATCATTATCAGTGGCGGCTCCAGGGACTTGCGCAATTTGGGAGAGTACAGTAGATCACCACCATGGTTGGGGCTAAGGAAAGAAAATTTATGATTTTGACACCTCCAGATTGCCGGAAATTAATTATAATTTTCCTTTTTTTCCATTTTTTAAAAAAAATTTTGAAAAATTTAGGGTCGTCTCGGCCCCACTTGATTCTGCCACTGATTATTATTAAGTTATTGCAAGATTGCGTCAACGTAACACTGGAGTAAAATTTTGGTATCAATAAATCAAAATAGATGGACATGTCCGTGTCAAAGGCTGTAAAATTATTATTTAATAATTGCTATATAAAATTCAATTGACTAACTATATATTTTTTTTGAAATTAGGAAAAACAGTAATCCTATGTATGTAGATAATATTAAACACATACGTACGGGTATGCAATTTAAGGAATAAATCGTTTACAGTAGAAATTGTGCACTTTTGAGTTTGTAAAAATATTGGCCTAATAAGCATACACGCTTCCAATTTTAACATTCAGTACATTGATTTCACAATAATTTTAGCATCTAAAAACCGCTGCACCCATAAAATCAATCTAGTGGTTTCTGAGATGGTTACGAAATGTATAAACGCAAAATAAATAAAAAAGTACTGCACTTGAAAAACTGAACAGACAAAATTCATGAGTCATGCGTAATTTGTATTCTTTACATTCGCTTTTAAAAGTGGGGTTTTAATTATAGAAGATTGGTAAAAAGTGTGGGGGACGATCAATATGATGTTCCCCTACTCTGAAAAATGGGGGAATGTGTCCCCCTGTCCCCACCAATCGATGCCCATGCGTGGCTAGAGATACGGTACCGTATTTCTACTTCAATTTGCTAAAGGTACGGTAAAAGGCATTATGTCACCATCACCCAATGAAGAGCCAGAATGTGCATGACGTCATCTTTCATTGCAGATCACCCACAACGATGAGTGGTGAAACGCGAACGATGTGCTGTACTTTAGAACAATAAAAAGTACAATACTCTATTTAGCTGTCATCGATAAATAGGTGTACTGTAAGGTTCCACTGAGTCATTTGAATCAGGGGCTTAGCCAGAAAAATGAAATAGGCCGTCCAAAATGCAAGCCAGTAGGCATGGCCCGCCCACCCATTCAGGGCCACACCCCCTTCCAAACATAAGAAAAAAAATTAGAAAATTATGATCTTTAGATGCAATTTAAAGGTACACTTTAAATTTTGGAATTCTGTCTTCAAATGAATAGTGTTGAATTAGGTTTCACAAAGATATTTCAGTTATATACATAGATTGAGCATGGCTACAGTATTTCTAGGCTATGCAGATGCATCTTCATCTCTCACTTAGTTTAGTGTAAATTCTACTCTAGATCCTCCGAATCGAGAGATAGGACTAGACCTACTGTAGTTTGTTGACTAATAAAACTTAACTTGTGAGGTTAACAACAATGTCATCTTTACGGTATTTCATGAATTATAACCAGAAAGTTACGAATACCAACAATATATGTAGGGGAACCAAATCTCAAGTATTGTATTTGCAGGGCCACGTGCATTATTTGTGGGCGACTCAGAACCGTCCATTTCACCAGGTAGGCAATGGTTAAGCCTTACATTTTTGGGAATCCCCACCGAATATTGGTATGGAAACAACGTACATTCAATCAATAAAATAATGTTGTTTTCATCAAATATAAATATGATTTAGCTTTAGTTTAATGTAACATTCCATAGATTTGAAGAATATAAAGAATTTGCTAAAGGTAGACCAGGCCCAATTAGGCTAGGCTGAGCTGATTAGGCCAAGCCGTCACAGTAAAAGTGGCCGTCCTAAATAATAGGCTCGCTGGCTAAGCCTATGGTTTGAATGCACATGCATAACCGATACCTCCTTGATTTACAAAACTTTACGTAGATTTTGTCGCTGTTATGGTACTTCCCCCAATCGTAAACATCGTTCGTTCGAGTTTCCACAATCGTGATTATAGTGACTGTCAAATTTGTCGAAAATACTTTTGATGCAGGCCCATTTACTATAAAGTGCTAGTAATCCTATAAGAATCCTCATATTTACAGTTTACAGTACATTCAGTTTTCATGTGTATTGTTGTCTTATAAATAGATTAGACCAGATTAAGCACGAGACAGACCTCAAATGCGTGAGCCTTGGTGTGTGTAGATAAATGACGACTCTTTTTACTGAGTTGAACCCTTACGCATATTTATCGATAACAGTATTATAAGAAAATACTGTACTCTTGCCTAGCTAAACACGTGTTAAGTATTGTACATTATTCGTTAGTCACACCGCTCACTTCACACCACCTCACCTCACACTGTGGGCAATCTACAATGTCGGTCTTGAAAGATGATGTCACGCATATTCTGGCTCTTCATTGGGTGATGGTGATGTAATGTCATTTATCGTACTTTTAGAAAATTGAAGTAGAAATATGGTACCGTATCTCTAGCCACAGCGTTAATACCAAACTTTAGTAAATCGTGGTAACAAACAAATTACCAAAAACAACAGCGACGTAAACAATGACAACAACATGAAGAACACAGGTAAATCAATAGCCTCAACAATCTTCTTGCACAGTTTGCAAACTGTGAAGAATATTGCAAAAAATTTTCAAATTGTGCAAGGAAATACAGACCTGCCAACTCATCCGATCCTGTCAGGTGTCACCCGATATTTAAACCTCCAGTTCTCCCAGGGGCGGATCCAGGGGGGCCCCGAAAGGGGGGAGGGCCGAAATTTGGGGCGATCGAGACAACACTGAAATAGTAGGAGGTCCAGGGGAATGCCCCCGCGAAATTTCTGTGTTTTAGATGCCCGAAAATAACATTTGAGGCATTCTGGGCTATCGTTTTTTTCTTTTTCTTTCTTTTTTTCTTTTCTTTTTTCTTTTTTTTTCCTCTCAAAAGGGGGGGGGGCAGGGCAGGGCCAGGCCCCACCTCCTAAATCCGCACCTGTCTCTCGATCGAATGTAATTTTCACCCGATGTCACAGGCCAACCCTCTTCCCAAAAATACTCCGATTTAGGCATAATTACTGTAGATTGATTTGGTAGTTATTATTCAATATATTCGCCGTCTGCTAGCTTCGCGCTGCAATAAACAAGCAGCCATTTTCAATTTGAATGTCGCCACCAACGGCCAAAAATTTGCAGTGAAGTGACTTTTTTGGTGTCTTTCATCATCTTTTGGTTTTCAGATTTTTTGGTAAATCCAGTGGCGTCGAGAGCCAGTACAGTAAGGGCCCTGGGGCAACACCTCACATGGGCGCCCCCCCCCCTTCACTTGGGACCCCCACTCGGCCGCTCCCCAAATCTCCTCCTAAGAGTTTGTTCTGACAACAGAAGTTTTCATCCTGGCTTGGGCTTGGGCCCTATGGAGATTTTTTTGTTCTTACCCCGCAAATTTTTCATCTTGATCCGGGTCCCCCCAGTAGACCCGGGGCCCGGGAAGCGACCCCACCTGACCCCCACTCTCGACGCCACTGGGTAAATCTCCAGATTTTTTTTAAGATTCTTAAAAAAATCTCCAGATTTTCATGACCCAAAGGTTGGCAGGTCTGGAAATACTTGCATGCACAGTTTTAAAATTGTGCAAGATTTCATTGCTGCTTGTACAGTTTGCAAACTGAGCAAGGAAGAGCTTGCACAATCTGCATATTGAGCAAACGTCACTGTGCACCACCGTTCTGCCTGATGATAATAGCCAGAATAGCCTAGCTAGGCCTACTGTAGGCCCTGAGTTTATGCAATAATTATTAATAGCCACTTACCGTCACCCTCTCCCCCAGTCAAACTTGGCCTAGACACAGGCTTATTTCCAATTACTTCGTGTAGCATGTGATAAAATGGAAATTGTCGGACCAGCCCTGCATCTGACCCAGAGGGACTGGGCCTAACTGTCTCACGAACAGTGTTCGCTTTGACGTACGATCTTCTCAGGTCCTTTATTTTATTGTGGACTTGTGGTCCAGTTCTTGCTGGATATCCCAAATGAAAAAGCCGAGTGGCAATTTCAATCCAAATATCTGTCTTACATCTACTCTTTGAATCTATTTTCTCCCTCAACTCGGGCTCTTTCCAGATATCTATCAAATCCGTTATTTCATCGTCAGGCCAATTGCTTCCTCTTGTAGTCTTCGCCATCTCAATACAGTCAATACCTCACACTTCCTCACTCTGCTGCTGCTAGCTAGGCTAGTCTGAGCCTGTAATTGTATACCACGGCGCCTCGCCGCTCTCCGGGCAGCAGCCTCAAAGAGTATATTAATACCCTTGCTAGCTCTCTAGCTAGGGCCTAGCCTATATGTATTGCCACCACGGCGCCGCGCCGCTCTCCGGGCAGCAGCTTCAAAGAGTATAATACTCTTTTTTTTTTGCCAAAGATCATATAGCGCCGCTGTTCAAATTATCCGTGGCCTTTGCTAGCCTCTCTGAGTCTCTCAATCTATAATGTTGATGATAGACTTCCTACAGAGCCGTAGATAGAGAGAGTTTGGCCAACTCGGTTTCAATCACGTGACTTACACCGGCCATGTTGTCACCAAAACAAAACAACGCGATAGGGTAGGAAGTTAGCAGTTATTATAGATGATAAATGCTATATAATGTGAAATACCGTTATGTTGGGTTTGGGGTTGCTGCAATCGATCCAACAAAGAAACAAAAATGTATTAATTTCCTTAAATTCCAAAAAGGAGGAGGTTCTGGGATTTTATTTTAACTTTGCATGGCGATCGAAAAATCTCGCTATCCACGTAGTAAATTATTGGGCATGTACGCCCGCCCCACTTCGCGGTAATAATATAATATATCCACCTACTACTACTAGGCCTAGGCAGGCCTAAATTTCGGCCGAACACCTTAAGGTAGTACGGTACTTAAATCAGCTTAATTACGATGATAATAATAAAAAAAAAAGGAAGAATTTTCAAGCAGCAATGATTTATAAAAAGATGCAATGTTGCACTTTGCTGTTAAATTATATAACTAAATTTCCAGAAAGCTACATGAAGTATCAGTCAAAGGTAGCTTTAATTATAATTAAAAATAAAAATTGAATCCTCCAATTAAAGCGAAAACTTGTCCAAGGAGTCCTGTGCTATGCAAACATGCCCCTTGTGCT